TGTTTTTTTTCAAAAATAAAGATGAAAAAAAATTGAGGTAAATGTGTAAATTTAAGGAAATGTGAATTGATGACTCATGATATAATTTTTGTCGAGCCTGCAACTTTTGTTGCAGAAAGCTCGACACAGGGATAGTGATCCGGTGGCGGCGTCGTTAGCTAACTTCTTAAAAGCTTTATATATTAGAAGCTAGAAGACCTGGATGCTTCATACTTTGTATATAGATGCCTTATTTTACGAAGTTTCCGCCTGTCATGTGTCCATTGTCCTTGACCTCATTTTCATGGTTCAGTGACTACTTGAAAAAAAAAGGCAACATTTTTTGTTATGTTAATTTCTTTCTTATTATGAGTAATAGGATAACTATATTTAGTATGTGGGTACCTTGCAAAGTCCTCATGCCCGTCAGACAATTTTCATTTGACCTCAACCTCATTTCATGGATCAGTGAACAAGGTTAAGTTTTCGTGGTCAAGTCCATATATCAGATACTATAAGCAGTAGGTCTACTATATTTGGTATATGGAATGATTGTAAGGTGTACATGTCCAACTGGTATGTGTCATCTGACCTTGACCTCATTTTCATGGTTCAGTGGTCAAAGTTAAGTTTTTGAGTTTTGGTCTTTTTTTCTAATACTATATGCAATAGGTCAACTATATTTGGTGTATGGAAATATTTTATGATGTACATGTCAGTCTCGCAGGTTTTATTTGACCTTGACCTCATTTTCACGGTTCATTTCTCAGTGTTAAGTTTTGTGTTTTGGTCTGTTTTTCTTCAACTATAAGCAATAGATCAACTATATTTGTTGTATGGAAGGATTGTAAGGTGTATATGTCTGTCTGGCAGGTATCATCTGACCTTGACCTCATTTTCATGGTTCATTGGTCAATGTTAAGTTTTCATGGTTAAGTTTGTTTCTTAGATACTATAAGCAATAGGTCAACTATATTTAATGCATAAATTGATTGTAAGGTGTACATGTCTGTCTGGCATGGTTCATCTGACCATGACCTCATTTTCATGATTCATTGCACTTGGTCAATGTTAAGTTTTCTTGGTTAAGACTGTTTCTTAGAAACTATAAGCAATAGGTCAACTATGTTTGGTTTATTGAATGATTGTAAGGTGTACATGTATTTCTCATTTGGTTTATCTGACCTTGACCTCATTTTCTTGGATCATGTTAAGTTTATGTGTTACTTGTAGTAAAGCTTTATATTTAGGTCTATCAACATAAAATCAATGGTTAGTAAAGAAGGCGAGACATTTCAGCGTGTGCACTCTTGTGATTTTAAGTAGAGAGTGATAATTCATAGAATTAAGTTATCTTATAAAAAATAAATCTAACTGGATGTTCACAATGTAATATAGGAAATGTCTTTATTTTTTTTATTTGGATATGATTGATTGATTGATGGTTGCTTAACTTCTAGTGGTATTCTGATATGATAAACTTCTTATAAAACGATAACATTTTTGTTGAGTCTGTCGCAGAAAGCTCGATATAGGGATAGTGATATCCAAGCTGAAAATTTTCGTCACATTTTTCTCAGGAACTACATAACAAGGATTTCTGAAATTTGGTTTCAGGGTTTATACAAGTCAGCTATAATGTTTGATGCATTTTAACCGCATTTTCGAAGGAAATATCGGTTATTAAAATGGTGATATACGGCGGGCGGCTGGGAGGTTTGGCGGCTGCCAAACAGTGTCCGCACAATAACATGAAAACGCTTTAATTAATTTTTTTCAAATTTAAATATGTTGTTTCCTGGGACTTAATGAAGGTCTGTATTAATTTTCAAGATTTTAGTATATCTCCTTTGTGAGTTATCGCCATTTTTAATATCCAAAAGTAGAATTTTTAAATATTTTTCTGTTGTTGTCATGTTATGATTTGTCTTATCTCAGAATAAAAATTGGAGTGACAGATTTATTTGAAAATTATCTATTTCCTAAGTGGTAATGATTATAAGCTATATCATTAGACATTTTGAAGATTATTACATTATTAATTATGTTAGAGTACTATGTTAAACAACCATAGTTCTGTTCAATTAGATATTATAGATATTTCAGCATATGATAATGATTTATTTTCATTATTAATTAGATCTTGGAAATATTTGAGCAGATGATAATCATTGGAGTGACAGATTTATTTGAAAATTTTCTGTTTTCTGATAAGATCTGTAGGACTGTATATATACAGTTTGAAACTTACTAGTATTACTGTATAAATGAAGTTTGGAATTTACTGTTCATTATTAGACATTTTGTAGATAATTAAGTGTCTGTAAATCATATAAATTCTATCCCTACCCCCCTTCAATTTGAAAATGTGCTTTTATCTTGTAAACGGTTGAGATCCCTACTCCTAAACCATATATATTCTTGTATGGGACAATAAAACAAATCAAATGAAATATTGGGATAGTCCTCAGGTTCACAGCTACCCTCCTTTTTTTTGAAAACTTGTAAATATGCAAGCTCCCCACCCTGAAACCATATATATTCTTGTATGTTACAAATCAAATGAAATGAAAGGTGAGTCCCCTGGGGTCACCCCCAGCGTGTCTGTTTGAGAACTTGTAAATGGTCGAGATCCCCACCCCTAAACCATATATATTTTTGTATGGGACAATAAAAGAAATCAAATGAAATATAGGGGAAGTCCATTGTGGTAACCCCCAAACCCCTTCTGTTTGAGAAATTGTAAACGGTTGAGATCCCCACCCCTAAACCATATTTATTCTTGTATTTGACAATAAAACAAATCAAATAAAATTTAGGGGAAGTCCACGAGGGTAAACCCCACCCCCTTCTTTTGAAAACTTGTAAACAGTCAAGATCCCCACCGTGAAACCATTTTTCTTCTTGTATATTACAATAAAACAAATCAAATGAAATAAAAGTCAAGTCCCCTTGGGTACCCCACCTTTTTCCTGTTTAGGGAACAGTCATTATTTATCAGCTGAGGGGGTCGGTTCATTTTAGGGGGGTCACTACCAAAAATATCATACAGCTGGGGGGGTTGACATCAAAAATTTTATTTGACTGGGGGGGGTCACACAATGAAAGTTTTTATGTCTGACAAGCATATAAATTGTTGACGATATTGAAGCGAGTATGCAATCTTTTAAATAGTTTCTATCATTATTAAATCTTTGGTCATGTACAGTGAGCACTAGAAGGATGCCTAATTTCTCAAGGATAGTGAATCTGATCACTCCTTATCACAGTCATCTGTCATGGTTCATTGTCCCATGGAACTATTATATTCAATATAATAGTTCCATGATTATCCATAGGACAAGTAGGATGTGAAAGTTTACAATCCGACTTATCTCAAGATTAACAACTGTATAAAACATTTGTCTCTAGTTTTGACCACAGGAAACAATCAGTTTTAAAAGTTTCTGAACATGTGTATTACAACTTTCTGAAGTGTTCAAATCATTTTGATGCGATTTCTTAGGATAGATATAGGACTGTAAAAGGTGTGTACGTTCTAAAATCATTTGTAAATATGTATAATTATTTTATGAAATTATTTCAAAGATATCGAATAATTAAAAGAATTTTTAATGTTCAAATCGAGGGCCCTTGTTGGGCAGCATGGCATTCAAACACACAAAACAATACACATCGGATTTCGTAAAACATTTTCACATTGAAATAAAATATTGAATGTTCATATAGTTATTAACCTACATGTATATTTCTTTATCTCAAATAAATCATGTCCATGCAATTAGTAATATTTGTAATGTGTTATTTTCAGTTGCACTTCCAAGAGTGGGATTGAAATAAAAAAATAACTATATGATGAGAAAATTAAAATCCAACTTCAAAATTTTAATAAAGACATTAAAAGAATTGAGCCATGTTTTCTCTTTTTTTTTAATGTTTTTTCATTCACAAATAATTCTGTGTCAGACAGAGGGAAATTCATTATTGAAAGGTTATATATAATATTGTAGAATTATAGGTTGCATTCAAATAAATTGGAACAAAGAATTTTCTGTTTTTTTTTTCTTTTTATGTCATTCCATTCATTTATAATAGCACATGCTCATGTATATAAACAAATTTGGCTAATTGTGCCTTTAAAAGCTTAACTTTTTAAGAATTAGCAGTTTCAAAATCAGGGACAATCTGTATTAAGGTATGACTTCATTCTGTTCATAAAGGTTCAAGTAAAAAAGCAATATATACATGTATTTGTTTTCATTTAAATGCTTATTTTGTCCATTTTTCTTCTTGCATGTGTCAGCTATTCATATTCGAAAGAAAGAAAAAAACAAGAAAAAAAACTCTATTGTATACTCAGGGTTTTCTCAAAGAAGAATACAACTGAAAAATGTTTTCTAAAATCAGTTGCATCAGCTTCAAAATAAAGAATATGGAAGGTCATGATGAAACATCAAGGCAATACAATATTTACAGAATATCACTTACTAATGACTGCTAACCAGACAAAGTAAATTATCTTGTGATATTTTTATTAACAAGAAAAATGGATTATTAATACACAGCATGTTGACATGTATCATCGCACATGCATTACCTGTCCTTATTGCCGATTGGGTATTTTATTTCAGCTTATATCTATTAATAACAACCAATGATATAAGGAATTCCCTACTGGCCACTCTTGACATCTCGCTCTCTAATTGCTTTGTGAGATGTGGGAAGGGAACCAATCAGAACAAGGCCCTTATTTCAAATTATCCAATCGGCAGAGATAATTAATTAATTATCATCCTTTTGTTTTAATTACTGCGCGCCTCATTTAGGCATTCTAGATAATACAACTGCATGAAGCAGACGCATTGCAATTTGGCATTAGCGAATTTAAAATATATATATATATTGTCTTTAAACATCGAAAAATTTTACGGGAAAAATTGGTTTAAATCCTTGGAAATGGATATTTCGGCAACGTTGTTAAAACCAGTGAAAGTATAGAGAACTTTTGTCTGAATAGCTTAATTCCCGAGAATGATATTTAACAGTGATACACTGTAGACTTTTGTGCACATTCCGGCGATGGAATTTATTGAGATCTGCTGTTGACGTGTGTAATCCTTGCATACCGTGTTCTGGTGATGGAATTTATTGCGTTTCCCTGTAGACTTTTGTAGTTTTTATCCTACACGCTCCGGCGACGGATTTATCCGAGTCAGAAATGCTCTGCTTTAAACTTTTTTAACATTTGTACCAAATAGTATATTTGCGACTATAGGCGATATGGCGAGCGACAGTGAAGGCGAAGTAGATGTTCCACGTAATGTCGAGCAGGTACAGATGTGGGCATCCACAATGAAGCTGAATCCAAACACAGCTTCCGAATTAATTAGACTTGGCTTCGATTCTATGGAAGCGATTTCATTGATTGAAAAAGAGGATATGCCAGCTATTAATATTCCGCTCGGGCAGCAAAAAGTGTTGATACGAGCAGTTGGAAAAACTTTCAAGGACGGTCGCGCTGAAGCTGGGAATATGGCGGACACGCACCCTTACGGAAATGAAAACGAGGCTACACAGAGAACTTCCGCTAGGATACAAAATGGCGGCACCAGCAACCAAGATGGCGACGGTGTAAACAACAAAGATGGCGACGATGTAAACAACAAAGATGGCGGCGCCCATACGTCAAACCCCCGATCGGAGGATGCCTATGTGCAAGAGATCCTAAAGATGATGTCGAGGGAGAAGAACATTACAGGACAATTTGTGAATGACTCTCATAATTCTTCCACAGGTAGAGACAATTTGCTGGTCAATGACATTTACTCATGGAAAGACCCTCAAATATTTTTAAAGTCTACAAATTTTGATCCTAATGTGAATTTCTTTGATATAACTGATTTTGTACCTAATACTTTAGGGGGGCACTCAGAATCAGAGGAATTAGTTTCGGAATCGTCAGGGGGCAAATTAGTTTTCAAATCGGGGCCTGTCAAGCCTAAATTAGAAACATTGTCGGTAACACAATGGTCTATGGCTAATTTGTCCATAATGCATAAGTTGATAGCTATAGGAGAGTTACAATCATCCCAAGTTATGGATTATTTATCTTATACTATGCGCATTTATCTTTTTCTTTCGAGCTGTGAGTTGGTGTTTTCCTTGATCGGGAATACCGACGCCTGCAAAAGCAACACCAATTTAGATGGGGTACAGACATTCCCCATCTCCATTCTGTATTTTTGAGGCCAAAGTTTTTGCAGAGTCAGAATTCCCGCATTGCACCTCAAACTCAGAGCTCGAAAGTAATGGCTAATAAACATGCAGTTACATATGCTTCTCATTCTCCGGGGGGAAGGATGATTTGCAAGAAATTCAATAGTCGTAGAGGCTGTTTTATGCCACACTGTAAGTTTGAGCATTCATGTGCTATACCTGCATGTGCTGAAAAGCACCCAGCATTTCAGCATACAAAAAACTAGATACAATGGTGAAGCCTACTCGTGCTCTTGATCTAATTTCATGGACTAATGAGTTAAGTGATGATTTTGACAAAGAATTTTTGTTATTTGGCATAGAACATGGATTTGACATTGTCACTAATGTCCCCCTACCAGAAAATGTACGCTCCAAAAATCATCCTTCTGCAAAGCCTAGTAGCCCTTTTTACAAACAGGCACATAAACAAATTTTAACAGAAATTGATAACGGAAACTATATTTTTGTCAATTCCCCCCCCAAAATTATCAGTCCGCTTGGGGTTATCCCTAAATCTGATGGCGGAGTTCGAATTATTCATGATTGTAGCAGACCAATAGGTTTTGCAGTAAATGATTTTGCAGGAGAATTTGATAAACAAAAATTTCAAACAGTAGATGATGCATGCAAGTTAGTTTCAAAAAATTTTTATATGTCAAAAGTGGACCTAAAGGCCGCTTACAGATCTGTCAAAATAAGTGAACAAAGTAGAGAGGTCACTGGGCTTACATGGACTTTTCCTGATGGTCATGATTATACTTTCATAGATAAAAAACTTCCGTTTGGATCAAAATTAGCACCTGGTATTTTTCATAGATTATCTCAGGCAATTCGCAGAATGATGTCACGTAGAGGCTTCACCATTGTGGCATATTTAGATGATTTTTTTATTTGCGAGAAGACAAAGAAGCGCTGCGCTCAGGCGTTAGCAATTTTAATTGCGCTGCTCAGGAAGTTAGGTTTTTGTATCAGCTGGTCTAAAGTAACAGACCCCTGCCAACAGATTGTATTTTTAGGGGTTGAGATAGATTCTACTACTTTAGAAACTAGACTTCCTATTGCAAAATTGCATGATTTGAAATCAGAATTAGCTGAATTTTTATTGCGTAAGCGTGCTTCAAAAAAGCAATTGCAATCTTTAGCGGGAAAGCTTAATTGGGCGTCTGCTGTGGTTCGAGGCGGGAGAGTTTTTCTCCGTAGAATTATAAACGGCATCATGCGATTAAAGCTAGATTGGCATAAATTGCGTCTGACAGGCGAAATATTGCAAGATATAAAGTGGTGGCATAACTTTATTTCAACTTTTAATGGGAAGTCAATTTTACTTTCAAAGGTTCCTATCACCTCTGTAGCTACTGATGCTTGTAAATCAGGTGGAGGGGGTGTCTATCAAAATGATTGGTTTTATGTAAATTGGGCAGAAGATCACCCCTTTGCTTTGAAACTTCACATAAATGAATTAGAGGCTTTCTCAGTGGCGTTAGCAGTAAAGCGATGGGCCCCATATTGGCGTGGTCAGCGTATTATAGTTCATTGCGATAATGCGGTAACTGTAAGTTGCATTAATAAAGGTACATAAAAAAATGCTATTTTGATGTCCTTTTTGCGTGAGCTCTTTTGGTTATCAGCAACGTATAATTTTCACTTGATAGCTAAGCATGTTCCAGGCAAAACGAATATACTAGCAGACTGTATTTCACGGATGCATGATCTACCTTTCTGTGAACAATTTTTGCGTGATTATGTTCGACAGCCACTGTATTTACAGGATCTTGTTAGGCACATGTCTAGTAATGCCCTTCGTTTTCTTTTATTTAGGCTCACTGGTATCGAGGGAGGTGAGATCACTGGATAGTATTGTTGCTAACTTTAGATGTCATACTTATGCTGAATCTACCAAAAAGACATATTTAAACTATTTCAAGTCATACGCAGAATTTTGTAGAAGATTAAATATTACCCTTGTTCCATTAAGTCCTATGAATTTAGCCAGATATGTAGCCTATTTATCTTCAAGGTTACAATTTAATTCCATAACAAATTATTTGTCAATTGTGCGGTTGCTACATTTAGAATCAGGAGTTGCATCTCCGATAGATTCCTTTTTTATGGAGTCAGTACTCAAGGGTGCTAAACGTGTGTTAGGTGCTGCCATACATAGAAAATTGCCTATTACACCAAAAATTTTGAATGAGATATTTACTTTACTGTCAGTCAGCAGTAGTAAGGACTTGTGTTTTTGGGCAGCCTGCTTAGTGGCTTTTTTCTCCTTTTTAAGGAAGTCAAATTTGTTTGCCCCTTCAATTTCAGCTTTTGATCCTTTGCGACATTTTACTCGTGAGGAAATCCATTTTCACTCAGATGGTGTCTGTTTAAAAGTACGCAAAACCAAAACAATTCAATTTTCAGAGCGTATATTAGAAATTCCCCTTCCTAGAGTGAAGAATTCTCATTTATGTCCCTCTAAGGCGCTTCTTTTAAATTTTAAACAGGTGCCAGCAGTGTCAGCCCCCTCACCTGTCTTCCTGTATTTAGTACGAGGCAAGGTTATCCCTCTTACATATACAGCCTTTGTAAAAATGCTAAAACAGAACTTATCTAGGTTGGGTTATGACAGCAGCAAATATTCGGGACATAGTTTTCGCAGAGGAGGGGCCTCCTTTGCCTTAGAATGTGGGGTTCCAGCTGATCTCATACAATCACAGGGTGATTGGAAATCTAATGCATACAAATCATACTTGGATCCTTCTTTTGCACACAGACAGGAAGTCATGAACAAATTTGCAGTTGCCCTGGGGAAATAATAAACCATTTAACCTACCTTCTACTGGTTACACCACACATGTTTGGGAAGTTTGGAATACCACAGATTATTAATTAATTAATTTGTGTATTGTTTTCAAACTGTACTGTTGTTTGTGTTTTATTAATATGAAATTTAAGCATTAAACTGTGGTTCTTTTCCCAAACATGTCTTTGTTTTACACTAGTAACCATCTGGATTCACAGGTTTCCTGACTGGATTCCGATCAGAGTTAGACATTAACATGCATCTGATCTGAGACTGGTCTAGATTCCAACAGCATATATACACATACACACTATACACATACACAGGGGGGAGGGAAATGGGTGGGGCCGTTTTCAAAGTGATGTGGATTAATGTGATATTTTTATTAACAAGAAAAATGGATTATTAATACACAGCATGTTGACATGTATCATCGCACATGCATTACCTGTCCTTATTGCCGATTGGGTATTTTATTTCAGCTTATATCTATTAATAACAACCAATGATATAAGGAATTCCCTACTGGCCACTCTTGACATCTCGCTCTCTAATTGCTTTGTGAGATGTGGGAAGGGAACCAATCAGAACAAGGCCCTTATTTCAAATTATCCAATCGGCAGAGATAATTAATTAATTATCATCCTTTTGTTTTAATTACTGCGCGCCTCATTTAGGCATTCTAGATAATACAACTGCATGAAGCAGACGCATTGCAATTTGGCATTAGCGAATTTAAAATCCCATCCTCACCCACCCTATTTTATTTTTAATTTTTATTGAGATGTTTAGGTTGCTTCATCAACTAATTATAGATATATAATTGATTTAATTTAACTGTATATTTTATAAATGTGTAGAGTAGATTATATTACAAGAACACACAGTTTTGGTTTCATATTATAAATGTAATATTCCCTTGAGTGGAATACCACAGATTATTAATTAATTAATTTGTGTATTGTTTTCAAACTGTACTGTTGTTTGTGTTTTATTAATATGAAATTTAAGCATTAAACTGTGGTTCTTTTCCCAAACATGTCTTTGTTTTACACTAGTAACCATCTGGATTCACAGGTTTCCTGACTGGATTCCGATCAGAGTTAGACATTAACATGCATCTGATCTGAGACTGGTCTAGATTCCAACAGCATATATACACATACACACTATACACATACACAGGGGGGAGGGAAATGGGTGGGGCCGTTTTCAAAGTGATGTGGATTAATTATCAAATTAATTAGTTCAAGCTACTTATTCATGTTATATAAAATAACAGAACTATAGTGTAGGATGTATTATGAAATATCAGTTCAAAATCAAAGAAAATGAGTTCTGCAATCAAGGAAAACCCCTTTATGCCGTATTCTATTACGGGTAGTGTCAATGTCCACATACTTCTCATAGCTATTTTTCAAGTCAATGCCTGCAACTTTTTACATTGTAGCTTCCAGTCATCATCTTCTCCCAACTGTTAATCGATAGAGATTTTTGTTTGGTTTAGGGGGGGGGGGGGGGGGGGGGGGTCAAACTTTTGAAGCTATGTTCTCAGGGGGGGGGTCATTATGTGGTTCATAAGAATCATGGGGGGGTTGTCAACAAAACCTTTTAATGTGAAAAATTTGAAAATTTGAACCGACCCCCTCAGCTGATAAATAATGACCATTCCCTTAAGAACTTGTAAAAGGTCGAGATCCCCACCCCTAAACCATATATATTCTTGTATGGGACAATAAAACAAATCAAATGCAATATAGGGGAAGTCCATTGGGGTAACCCCCACCCCCTTCTTTTTGATAGCTTGTAAACGGTCAAGATTCCCACCCAGAAACCATATATATTCTTGTATTGGACAATATATCAAATCAAATGAAATATAGATGAAGTCCACTGGGGTAAATCCCAACCCCTTCTTTTTGAAAACTTGTAAACGGTTGAGATCCCCACCCCTAAACCATATATATTCTTGTATGGGACAATAAAACAAATCAATTGAAATTTGGGGGAAGTCCCCGGGGGTAACCCCCACCCCTTTTTTTTTTTTGAAAACTTGTAAATGGTCAAGATCCCCACCCTTAAACCATATATATTCTTGTATGTTACAATAAAACAAATCAAATGAAATAAAAGTCAAGTCCCCTGGGGTCATCCCCACCTTTTTTCTGTTTAAGAACTTGTAAACGGTCGAGATCCCCACCCCAAAACCATATATATTCTTGAATGGGACAATAAAACAAATCAAATGAAATTGAGGGGAAGTCCCCTGGGGAAACCCCCACCCCCTTTTTTTTTTTGAAAACTTGTTAACGGTCAAGATCCCCACCCCGAAAACATATATTTTCTTGTATGGGACAATTAAACAAATCAAATGAAATATAAGGCGAGTCCCCTTGGGTCACCCCCACCCCTCTCCTGTTTGAGAACTTGTAAACGGTCAAGATCCCAACCCCTAAACCATATGTATTCTTGTATGGGACAATAACACTAATCAAATGAAATATAAGGGAAGTCCAGGGGGTCACCCCCACCCCCCTTCTTTTTGAAAACTTGTAAATGGTCAAGATCCCCACCCCTAAACCATATATATTCTTGTATGGGTCAATAAAACAAATCAAATGAAATATTGGGGAAGTCCATGGGGGTAACCCCCACCCCCTTCTTTTTGAAAACTTGTGTAAACGGTCGAGATCCCCACCCCAAAACCATATATATTCTTGTATGGGACAATAAAACAAATCAAATGAAATAAAAGGTGAGTCCCCTGGGGTCACCCCACCCCCTCCTGTTTGAGAACTTGTAAACGGTCGAGATCCCCACCCCTAAACCATAAATATTCTTGTATGGGACAATAAAACAAATCAAATGAAATATAGGGAAAGTCCATAGGGGTAACCCCCACCCCCTTCTTTTTGATAACTTGTAAACGGTCAAGATCCGCACCCCTAAACCATATATATTCTTGAATGGGACAATAAAACAAATACCCCCACCCCCCCTTTTTTTTGAAAACTTGTAAATGGTCAAGATCCCCACCCCGAAGCCATATATATATATTCTTGTATGTGACAATAAAACAAATCAAATGAAATATAAGATGAGTCCCCTTGGGTCACTACCACCCCCTCCTGTTTAAGAACTTGTAAACGGGTGAGCTTTTCATTATTAATAAGATAATACCATATTGAGGTCCAAAGGGTCCTAAATTAAACTTTTGTTTAATTTCATCAAATATTGAATTCTTTGGTTCTTTGATATGCTGATTCTAACAATGTTTGAGTGTTAAATCATATCTGATTTTAGAGAACTTAGTCATCACTGGTTGTTGTTATTATATTATTGATTATAATTTGAAAAATTGCATCATATCTTATTTTAGAGAACTTTTTATCCAGTTTGAGTTATTTCCTTTTGCACAGAAAATATTATGGATAAAATTAACCTGTGTTTCATTTCAACATAAATTAAATATATATATAGGGTTCTTTCAAATGCTGAATCTAAACTCTATTTAAATATTAGATTTTTAGGCCCAGTTTTCAAGTTGGTCCAAATCAGGGTCCAAAATTAAACTTTGTTTGATTCAACAAAAATTGAATTTATGGGGTTCTTTGAAATGCTGAATCTAACCATGTATTGAGAGATTTTGGATTGTGGGCTCCTTTATCAAATTGGTCCACATTGAGGTCCAAAGGGTCCTAGATTAAACTTTTGTCTGATTTCATCAAAAATTGAATTCCTGGGGTTCTTTGATATGCTGATTCTAATATGTACTTAGATTTTTGATATTGGACCATAATAGGTATTTAAATGTCCAATTTCAAATATATCAGTTCTTTGACTACATTCATTTTGTGTCACAAACCTATGATGTGTCAAATATTCAATTACAATCCAAATTCAGAGCTATTTTAAGTTTAAATGTAGTGTCCATACTTGCTCAACTGTTCAGGGTTCGACCTCTGCAGGAAAATCCGGTTTGCTGTCTTTCTGACAGCCTCTTGTTAGATTCATCACTCAACAACTTATTGTTTACCGTCAAGTATTTGGGCAGAGGTATCATCAGTGATCAGTTACTAAGCTCGCAATTTAATTCACTTGTTAATCTTGCTTTTTTTTCGTTTCTGAATTTACACTGTTCCTTCCATCTGTCCATCTGTCGATCTTAAGTTCATTTGTCTGTCTGTATGTCCATAACAAATGCTAACTGGATGTTGACTTGAATTTGAGATTTGACTTCAGTTTGAAAATATAGAGAGGAAAAAAAAAACACTATTAATTATACCCCATGCAACGAGTTGCGGAGGGTATAATGTTTTTGACCTGTCCGTCCATCTGTCCGTCTGTCCGTCCGTCTGTCCGTCCGTCTGTCCGTCTGTCCGTCCGTCAGTCCGTCAGTCCTGTTTCTTGTCATCGCAACTCCTCTCAAACCACACAACAGAATTTCATGAAACCTTTTCAGATGATAAGGACATACTACCTAGATGTGCATATCGACAGGAAATTACAATTCAATTTTTTTTCCAGGAGTTACGCCCCTTTGAACTTATTTGCCCAATATACTACTGCAACCTTTTGTCATCGCAACTCCTCTCAAACCACACAACAGAATTTCATGAAACTGTGTAGATAATAAGGACATACTATGTAGATGTGCATATTGACAGGAAATTATGATTCAATTTTTTTTTCTGATATAATTTTTTTTTCTTACACTTATTTTATTTCTCCAATGACAATGTGGGGACGTGGGGTATGTGAGTGCGCTCACTAAGGTTCTTTCATTTTGGGAGCAATAAGTCAATGATTTTCGGTATGCAAATGTATTGGCATTTGCAAGTTTCATTTCCATGGAGATTATATAACCCCACCCCCTAATTATGGTTCATTGACTTTGAAACTTTTACATAGTTTACAAGTTAATGTTTGTGTTTAGGTTTGTTTAAAGGGAACGACTTATGAAAAGTCAATGGTATATGGTTTGCAGTTGTATTAGCATTGGCACATCTCAATTCCATGGAGATTGTTTAGCCCTGTACCTTCAGTCATGGTTCATTGACTTTGAATATTTGCATAACTTACATGTTAAAGTATTGCTATTTTAATTTCAACATTTGCATTATCAAAATAACAAATAGTCAGAACATATCTCTGTGTTAACAGTTTATTCTCTTTTATTATCTGAAATATTACTGATTGAATTCTTTTATAATAGGTGAACATTTGTATAGGAAGCACATGAAATTGACAAAAAAAGTTCATAAATTTACCTTAAAATCAACAATTTTTTATTTTTACTCCATAGATTTTTCTTAAAAAACTCTATGTTGTTGATACATAAATTTCCGTTTTAATGATATGATGGTGTATTAACAAATCTGTTACCTAGTCTGTAGTAAAAAATTTAAAAAATCAACGATTTAGGGTCTACAATGCGATTACGTTACAATTATTTCAACGTTTTTGTGTATTTTTTCACCAAGTACACCACTTTGCTTGAAGTAAACTGTAAAAACGATGTCGGTGACCATATGATTATTTTACATCATTAAAACAGAATTTTTTTTATCAACAACACATAATTTTTTAAGAAAAATCTATGGAGGAAAAATTGGAAATTTGATGATTTGAAGACAAAGTTAAGAACGTTTTTCACCGATTTTATGTGCTATCTATACAAATGGGCACCTATTTTGAAAGAATTCAATCAGTAATATTTAAGGGAAAAAAAGGAGATAAAGGCATAATTTTTTCGATTTTCAGATACAGTTCAACGAGCCAAACGAGGTGTATGCAAAATATTAAGAAAATCTGTGACATAGCCCATTTACTGTAACTTAACCTTAATTTGAGTGAGATATACTGTAAATTCAGAAATTATTGCATGCATTTATTATTGTGATTTTTCAAGAATGGACAAAAATGAGAGTGATACTATATTGCGATTTCGAAAAAAAAGTGAATTCGCATCTATATTTTAATTATCAGGATGGGAGTTCTTTTTTTGGCAATACTCATCCAGTCGCATTATTCATAT